TTTCAACTTTTCTTCATCAGTTAATGTCCTTACTGGGTTCTTACAGGGTAAGAAAACACTTGCAATCGAATGTAAAGAAAGAGATGATTGTGTGCAACTCACAGACCCCGAATTATTGAAGGAATTGTATGACCTCAAAAAATGCTTGACACGCACCATGCTTTTCAGCAATAGACGCTTTCGTTCCTTTCTATTTGCTGCTGGATTCGTCAAGGAAGATGTTGTCCTAAGGAAGAGAAGAGCTCGGGTATATACTTTTTAAAATTTTCTACTTTAGTTCTCTACTCTATTTTTAAAAATGAAGAGGAGGCAAATATATCAAATGCCAGTTTACCTAACAGTTATTTTTTTGGCAGATTCTGAAGCCTGCTTTCACAGTGATACGTGATAAAGAATCAAAATGTTTGTTTGTGTTCATCCGTGGAACTCAGGAAGTAAAAGACAGTTTGACAGATGTGATCGGTGCTCCCGTTTCCTTCAATCATTTCATTAGCAGTGATGGTGAGCCGAAGAGGAAAAACGTGATTTCAGGACATGGGCACCGTGGTATGGTTGCTTCGGCTCGTTGGATCAAAAAGCATTGCACTTCTAAACTTCTGGATGAGCTTCGTCATTACCCCGATTTCCAAGTCAAGGTATATCAGTCTCTTAGGTTTTTTGGAAGAACATTGATTATAATGTTCACCCACTGATAACAATTCCTTTTTCATCCAATACCCATATTTCTATATAAAAGTTTTACTTTATATAAACTATAAAATTATATATATTGTTTTTATTTAAACATGCAACTGAACCTAATCTTTATTTGATAGATTGTTGGGCACTCACTTGGTGGTGGTACTGCTGCATTATTGACATACATGCTTAGAGAAATTAAACAATTCGCTTCGTGCACTTGTGTCACCTTTGGATCAGGCATGTGACTATATGACTTCTTTAAAGTTTTATTTGGTCTTGATTGAGTTAAATTTTCAATAGGTTTTCGTGAAAGTTGAATCATCTCACGATCTTTAGTTTAACCAGATAGAATATATGAGTGTTAAAGATACAAAAGAAGTAATTATAAAGAGATGGATAATATTTCAACATTAAATATCACGTACATAAGTTTTTCTGTCTTTTATCTATGAGTCTTAATTAATTAATTAGTTGATTTTTCTGTTGTTTCACAAATATAATTTTTGATGCAGCTGCCTGTATGTCAATGGAAATGGCGGAATTTGGGAAGCCCTTTATCACTTCCATTGTGAATAGTGATGACCTGGTGCCCACGTTGTCAGCTTCTTCTGTCCATGATTTCATTCACGAGGTGCTCAAATTAGTTCTTTAAACATTACATGGTTTTGGCAAATGTGTTTTTTTTGTTTTTATTTGTTGTCAATATTTTACGTTAATGGCTGGTTATTTGATCAGATCAAGTTGGCTTTTATTATGTCACTCCATAATTAATAATACAGATTCCATGATACACAGGTTAGGATTAAGCGTAAAAAGTTAATTACTTCTGCTTACAACGCAATTGGATCTCGCGTACCATTTGCAAAAGCCATTGCGGATCGTGCAGTATCCCGTGGCACTGAGGTACCTTCTTTATGATTTGTGGTTATGATCATTATGTAGTTACATTAAGAAACAGAAAAACTTTACATTAAAACAAATTACTTAATTACTGTTGCATACGAGGAAACCATATTTGATCTATTGATCTTAACATATACAATTTTTGTATACTGATTTCTTATATAATAATTATCTTACATGGAGATCCTTCTTTATAACTTAAAGGTTGTGATGAGTAGTAAACAAAGAACTCGCTCACTGATAAGCTGGACACGACGAGAGAAAACTGCTGCATTGACAAGTTCTAAATCAGCAAACATGGCTGAAGCCTCTGAACCATTAGACAAAAGTTATGAAGCGAGTGAAGAGTTAATAATCTCCGAGTTTACGAGTGATGAGGACGACGGATCTAAATCCACCAGTGAAGAATCTGATAATGATGGCGTGGATGAAGAGGATTCTGCGACTCACAACACTGCTAACGATGAAATGAATCAATATTTGAAGGAGCTTCAACTGGAGGAACAGGATGATAATCCTAAGATTAATGGTGGCAAGGAAAAAGAAGCAGCCAGAAAAAAAGGCATCACAGAAGCAGAAATGAAATATGAGGGTGTTCGTATTGAAGAAAGAGCAGGTAGTACAGAGGCAACATCAGAGAAGCCTGCTAAACATCATCTTTATCCATCAGGAAGGATCTTGCATCTTGTCCCTATACCTTCCTCTGAAAATTCTGATGATGCTGATGAGAAACGTGTCGTCTTGTATGAAACGCCCAGAGAGATGTATGGAAAACTCCGACTTTCAATAAGGATGACAGTTGATCATAAAACAAAGAGGTATCTGAAGGTGCTACAACAATTAATCAATCAACTAGAGAAAGAGAAGTCCCATTATGGTGCATGATAAGCCAAAAAATGGATGTGAAAGGTTCAAGAAGCTAAATTAGTTTTTTTTTTTTATGTTTGTTGAGTGTGTTGCAGCTGTAATAAGTCTTATTCTGACACTTTTATGTGTAAGTTTGTTGGCTGGTGAGGTTCATGATACTTATGTTTTTCCAGTACGAGAAATAAATGAATGGGTTTTCCAAATTTTCCAACGGGTCTGTTCATCGCTAAAAATTTGGTTTTTAAGAAAGCGAACTCTCAACGCTTAAACAGTTTATACATTCTGTCCATTCTGACATTGTTACTAATTGGTGGAGCTTCAAATGTTAAATTTCTATAGCTTGTTCTTCCTGAATCTTCTATACAGAGTCATTATTTTACTTTGTTTTATTGTTTGATTGACCGAATATCAGTTCAAATTCTACATTGTTTGACTTCTTATTATATATTTTGTGTTTCAAGTTTTCCTCTCTATGTCGGAAGTGGTGAAAAGAAAGTCAATTAATTATTGGCTTAAGATTAAGTATATATATTTTAAGCATTTTTTTTTTCATTTACAACATTTCACCAGTTGTTAAATATTCGTGCGGTGTTATACCCTTACATATAATATATTTATTATTTTTCTGATAAAAAAAAAATACTGTAGTGACAAGTAGTAGTCTTTTATGCTATTTTTTTTATCAGAAAATTCCATAACTATTATTTGCGATGCTTAACATGACTGAAATTTTATCTCTTCCAGACATGTTTTGTATCCCGATTTCTATCATCATTTTCTTGACATTATTGAATCGTGTCTAACTCTCCTTACCATAAAAAAAAAAAACAACTTGTTTGGTTTTGTATATATTATGGTTTCTCTCAACTCACAAATCCTTAAAAAAGAATCTACCAATTTTTATTTTTTGAGAGAGCATAAAAGAAAAGAAAACATGTTAACATGAAAACTTTATTGGATGGCTCTATAAATAGAGCTCAAACACACAAATACAACTCTTATTCTTTAGCAGAAATTAACATTCAAAGAGTTCTTCTATAAGAAACTCCTAAAAACCTCTTACAATATGTTACCAACATATTCAACAATAACAATTCTAATATATGCTCATAAAAACGAAAATTGAGGATTAGAATCAAGAGCACTATAATTTTAATTCTAAGGCTCCGTGAGCAAATTAGTACCAATTACTTTTTCATTTACTTTTTAATAATTGGTTCATGCTCCACGATATTTGAATCACTCTTTCTCTAGTTTATTGATTAATTGTTGCAACTTCTTCAGATACTTTTTCGTGGGATGATCCAGTATCATCCCTCTTGAAAATCTGAGTTTTCCATACAGTTGTGTAGGCGTTTGATATAAGCAGACATGTTTTTCCCCAGCATCACTGTGATTTAAGTTCGAATTTTCAGACATCTGAGAAGTGATATGCATGATCCTGCCTGGTGGATAAAGACGTTGCCTAGCTGGATCAATGATATCTTTCTCCTTAGCATGTTTTCCCAATTCAAGATTCCTCATTTGATTCAACAATTGGTCTGCATCGTCATCTGAGTCATCATTGTCAGATCCTTCACTGGAAGAATCATATTCATCATCATCAATAGATTCTATGAGTAAGAGCTCTTCAGTTAAAAAAGGTTCAAAACTTGTCCCAGATGACCCAGAAGCTTCACCCAAGTTATCTGACAATGTGTTAATGTTCTCACGTTGGGACCACGGTATAAAGGAGTGTTTATGCTTCTTCACAACCTTTAGGCAAAAAGAAGGATCAGTGTTGTATAAGATAATTAATAAGATCACCGAATCAATTAATTGTAAACTCTCGTTAGTGTCTAGTGAATACCTGTTAGTATTTTGAAGGTTGTGAAAGGAGTAGTTGATGTAATAGAGAAAACGTAGAGATAGTTGAATGTAGAAGTAGTAGTTGGAAGATGTGTTGTAGTCGTCTTTAGTTGTAGTAGATGTTGGTTCATACAAAATGATAGATGTTGGCTACATACATCAAATGGTAGAGTTCATGGATATTTCTAGAAATGGTAGAGTTGATGGGTATTTATAGACCCATAGATTATTCTAGAACATACTAGCCACAACTTATGTGGAATGTTCTAGATTTTTACCTATGTAGAATATTCTTGATTTTTCTTCCTATCTTAGGTTTTTCTAGAATATTCTAGAACTTGTATTACATTTCAATTCTTCTATCTTAAGGAGCTTCTACATTCTTCTAGAATTTGCATTACACTTTAATAATACCTATAGAACACAGTCTGAGATTTCAATTTTAAATATATATTATAAAGAAGGGAGCTTGAAGCTACCTCGGTGCAACAATTTACTGCAAGTTTTGCAATGGCTTTGGCAGAAGATATTTTACCCTTATTCCGACCGTGCAAATTATTCGATCAATACCTAATCACAAAAGCTTAAATTTGTGCAAAGAACGAAACATTTTCTATGACATATCATCACGAGAAATTAACAAGTGACAATTAATATTGTAGGTTGTTACCTCAGCAATGAAATCATGAACAGAAGAATCCGACAGTGTTGGCACTATGTCAGAACCATTTACAATGGAAATGATAAAGGGTTTTCCGAACTCAGCCAACTCCCATGTCATACAGGCAGCTGCAAAAATTACAATTATGAAACTATTAACGTCTTGTTGCAAAAGATCATGTAATTATTTTAATTCTAATACATAACCATACAAATTAGTTACTCAACCGAACATGTGTTAATTAAAGAAGTGTGTATACCTGGGCCAAATGTGACACAAGTTGTTGAAGAAAACTGTTCAATTTCTCTAAGCTTAAGAGTCAACAGTGCAGCAGTACCACCACCTAAGGAGTGTCCCACAATCTATATATATGATAGATGGAAATATTATTATTATTATTATTATTATGAAAAAATAGTAAGTAACATTAATAAATACCTTGATTTTGAAGTGGGGGTATTGATGAAGAGCTTTAAGTAGTACAGGAATGCAAAGTTCTCCAATCCAAGAACTGCAGCAACCATGCCACGGTGTGCATGTCCTGAAACCATGTTGTGATTGAAAGAGACAGGAGCACACAGTGCATCTGTGAGAGTGTCTTTTATGCTATGCGTTCCACGGATGAACACGAGTAAACATTTTGATTCTTTATCACGTATAACCGTGAAAGCGGGCTTCAGAATCTGACATTCAAAATTCATTTTCAGTTCAAATGGCCAACGAAAATTCATCAACAATATTATAGTACTAATTAATGAACGTACCCTAGATGTTCTCTTCCTATAGAGGACATCCTCCTCATCGAATCCACCAGCAAATCGAAATTGCAAAACCCGTTTTCGGCTGCCGAAAAGCATGGCACATCTCAACAATCTCTTCAACTCATATAACTCCTTTAAAATTTGACGGCCTTTCACTTCTGCACAATCACTTCTTTCTCGGCATTCAGTTTCAATCGTTTTCTTACCCTACATAAAAATAAGCAAAACCTCTTTCAACAAGAAGAAACTTTTTAAAGAACCCCAACGTAAATGGATAATAGGTAAGAACTAGGGAAGCACCTTGTCCAACACTGCATGAGCGATGGCTCTGTGCAAGTTGAAGATGTGGCATCTCTCGGTGTAAAAAAACAACATTATGGCTTCTGCTAATATCAGTATTGCCTGCATCAAATTTTTGGGGGCTCCAAGTGCCCTTCGTTCAACCCTCGCACAATAATTTCTATTGTTCGTCGCCATTATTTGCGAGCAAGAAGAGTTAAACAAATACTAGAATGTATCGTGGCGTTGGTTTGTGTCTCATCAAGTGCCAAGGAGACTGAGACCTTTTATAGGAACGCGTGATGCAAGTGGTTTTAACTGTCTGGGTCGAATGAAGTGTAAGTTGCAAGTTGCAAGCTCACTGATAAGATAAGACTGAGACGTTTCACATAACTTTCAATCCATTTTCAATTTTCAATCCATGCACGTCAATGATAAGATAGGACTAGGTAATACGCGTAACTCACAAAAGGAAAACATATCATATTTTAATCTTTCAAGTTATAAGTCTATTTTATTTTATTACATATTTACTCCAAATTTGAATCTTTAAACTAAGCTTAGTCTCTTAAATTTAGTATTGATTAATTACTTTGTTTTTCTAAAAACAATAATTTGCTTTTATGTTTTCTTATTCATGAATATTTATGTCATGTGTATCTTAATATTATTTTTATTTTAATTTATTTCAATTTTATTATTAATAGTAGAGTCATGTGATTCAATAAATATGTAAAATATTAAAATAAGATTATTATTACAATATTAATGTTCTTTTTATTTTATTTATGTGAACTAACAGTTGAATAATCATTATATGAAAAAGGACTCCCAAAATTAGTTCTGAACCAATTCGATTCACTTTCTGTAAGTTAAATACAAGGCAGATAAAAATATAAGGAATCAACCTGTCTGAAAAAAATTACAAATTTAAGTAATGAGAAAATTACTCAAATGTTATTTTAAACTAATATATTAAATTTTAAATTTTGCTTGATCTTGCGGAATCAAACATATCTTACTAAAAAAATGAAAAATGCCGACGAACAAAATTCATTGATAACAATTAATATAAGTAGATAATGGACTATTTTTTTCTGTTTATCGATGATCAAATATCCGTCAGTAGTTTTAGTGACGGTAACCATTACCAGTGATATATTGATCAATTCTATAAATTGATATTGATAAATTCCTATCTACTATCCAATATCTAAAAGTTCAAGTGCTACAGTTAAATAGAAACATGGACCCTTAGCACTTAAATACACACAAGGAATGACTCAAAACTTATCTCGATGACCTGTGAGCCAACTAATAATTTAGGACTTTTACAAACTCTCTCTTGACGAAAATATAGCAAGCACAAACTTTCGACAAAAAAAAAAAAAGAGTTTAAATTGCAATTACAATGACTAATATAGAATACAGAAAGATATGAAAACCAAACCTACCACTAAAAAACATTTAAGTCAAGGTGATTCATTAAACCAATTCCAATTTGGTAGCAAGCATAATTATAATAACAAATCAATTATAATAACAAATCAAGCATAATTATAATAACAAATCAATTACGAACCAATTTCAAATTGGCAGCAAGCATAATTCGCAATCCATTAAACTAATTTCAGAACAAAAAGGCAATTCAGTCAACACACACTTACCTTCATCATCCCTCCAAAGCCAGTTTAGGGCTTCTGGACAACCATGATCCCTCCACCACTAGTAGCCACTGTGACTCAGCGACCACCGTCACCCAGTAGGACCCTCGCGCCACCCTTGTGCCACCTTCGCGTCACCACTGTCGTGCTACCACCATCACGCTCGCACCACCACCACCGCGCATTTCGCCAACAGGGTCACGCCACTTGCCCCACACCACCGCCACCAGCATCCATCATAGTGCCACTACCTGGGGTGTTCGGATTGAGGGTTGGAGGAGGTTTGGGGAAGGGTTTTTGGTGGAAAACGAAAATGGGGACAAAGGGAAACCAGATTCTGATTTCATAAACTTGAAAAACTTACCAACGGCTATCGCCCGCTGGTAATGAGTGATGACGTTTATCAGTGTAGTTCACAGTTCATTCATAAAGATTCCCTCTAATTTCTTGCGTCCAATTATCTAAGATAGTTTGACTTCAACGTGCAGAAGCTGGGGTTCGGGCGACTAATCAGTCAACAGGGTGATTGAAGAAGAAAAGAAAATTATAGCAATTGATGCAACTGGGTCCCAGATGTAGTCGCCACATGAAGTGGTAGGTAGTTATAAATTATCAATCTTACAATTTGTCTTTAATTTTCCAACAATATTCAACTACGTTGTACTTTTGTGTTACACTGTTCTTCGTAACCACATCGATCACAAGCACTTTGAGGATTGGGGGAGGAGACATCTTTGCACTCCCGAAGAGCTTATGGGTTTATTTAGATTTTATAAATATCATTTTAAGTTTAAGTATGACTTGTTTAAAAGGTTTTGCTGACCCAAAAACCTTTTTATTTGCACAGTTTTAATTAGAAACTAAAGTTTAAAAGATAAGGAAAATTAAATAAGTAATAAGTGACTATATTGATTAAAAATAAATAGACAGTTTAATGGGTTGTATTTAGACACCTTTTATTTCTATGGACACTCAAGGTAGGTTAATTAGAAAAAAAATAAAACATAGGTGTTCATACGAACATGATAGAAATGAGAAATAAAAAATTTATACACTAGTGAAGAAAGAAAGAATAACCTACGTCTCAGATTTAACTCATGAATTTAGAGGATTTGATGTTAGTAACAATTTTGTAATTAAAAGCAGTTTTTTTTTTCGGCTTCCAATTTATTTTTTCTTCATAATGTGAGTAATTTCTTCTTCGTCACTTCCTCTTTCCAATTTCACAAGAGTTGAAAATTATACCAATAACACCAAATAACTTTACTTTCTCATTGAAACATTCCTTGACAACATGAAAGAATTATCTAAGTTCAACATAAATTTACCACGAGGTTTAGGTCTCAAGTGAATTTACGTCACCCATATTTATATCTGACTGTTAATAAAATTCGTAATAGATATGAAATAAATATTTATAGATATATATATTTTTTATATCTGCATGTTAATAGGAAAATATAAATATTATGTTATCTATACCTATATTCATTAATTTTTAATTTATCAAAGAGAAAGGGTTTCTTTTTTGGGTTGAGAGGGTTAAAGGAATGAGAAAGATGATTAAGGGTTTGGAGAGTTTTTTTTTTTTTAAGTTTTGAGAATGAAAATTATTAAAATAATATATATATATATATATATATATATATATATATATATATAATTGATATTAACAATAATCAAAATGCTCTAATAAATAAAATTTACTAATAATAAAATATTTGTCAATAAATTATTTGTTGATAAATTTTATCAACAAATATAAATAGAAAAAAATATGTCAATAATATCAAGAAAAAAAATGATAATAAATATTTGTTGGTTATCCATAGATAATTATCGAAAAAATTTTATTATCACTAAAATTATCGATAAATAGTGCACTATGGTTCTTCTTCCTTTTTCCTTTTTCTTTTCTTTTTTTTTTCTTTCTCTTCTTTTCTTCCTCTTCTTTAGTTTAATTTAGTTTCATCGTTATTGAAGGTGTTCCTCTTCTTTTTCCTACTTCTCATCCTTCTCATTTTCCCTATTTTTCTTCTTTTCTCTCTCTCTTCCTTTTTCTCCTTCAATATCACTATCATCTCCAAAATTGTCATCGTTGTTGCATCATCTCTTCCTCCCCGTATTTCTTTTCCTTATTCTTCTTGTTCTCTTTTTTTTTTCATACATCTCTAGTTAATGTATAAATATATTTCATTAGATTAGGGAGAAAATTGGCATTGAATTTATTGATAAATTTATCGACAAATTTTTATTAATAATCAAAATTCTATTTCATTGACAAATTTACTCATAAATTTTAAAAATTAAATTACCAACGAATATTAATGCAATATTCAAAACTCAAAACAAGAAATAAAGTGATATTTTGCTGACAGAATTTATCAATGAAAAAATTCGTTGACAACAACAATTCTAGATTACCTACACAGTTTACTCATGAAATTTGCCAACAAATATTTAACAATGGATATTTTCATTAGTATTTTAAATTTTACTTTACCAACAAGTTTTTATCTTCTTGTTTATGTTTGTACATATATCAAGTTTTTTATATGGGTGGAAGAAATCCAATTATTGTCTTGTTTATATATATTTGTTATTGTTGAAAAAAAAAATGTAATAGAAAGTCATTGACTTGTTATGCTTACTTAGTTTAATATATAAATTATACAGCGTGAAACATAAATTGACTTATATAATAGGAAGTCATTTGACTTGTTATGCTTACTTACTTTAACAAATAAATTATATATAGTGTGAAACATAAATTGAAGATTATAAACATAAATATTATGTGATGTTATGTGAAGAGAGTGTTGACCACTGTATGATGATGAAAGAATGACATTCAACATAGTTAAGCAATATATTTGCTTGAAATTACCAAATTTTGTGAGAGTACTAAGTTGATGTTTTTTTTAATGTTTTCTGAATAACTTGCAAACTTATTTTTAGCTGCTGAGGAACTTTTTAATTATTGAGATATCATATATTGTAATGTTATAACTAATTTCAAGGAAAATAATTAAGAGAAAACTAATCAAATTCTAGAAGGATATCTTTTCTCACCGTTGAGTTTTAAACCGACTTAAAAACTACATTTTTTTCATATGTAAGTGCAGAAAAAATTTTAGTTTCTATATTATCCATAACCGTTGAATAATTACCATAAAAAAGTATTTATATATTTCGAGTTTACCTCTATGCTGAAAGTGGTGAAAAGAAAGTCAAACAATTCTAGCTTATGATTAAGTATATAATTTTTAAGCAGTTTGTTTTTATTTCATTTACAACATTTTTCATCAATTGGTTTTTTTATCAACAATAAATAATTAATATAATATAAGAGTACTTATGGTGATGCTATGATCTTTTTACATTCCTATCATTAGTACACATTAAACATATATATTTCATATGGTATATTTCTAAAGTATATAATAATCTTCTATTATACCATTGTTTAAGAATATTGGATTCATATATTTTTTTTCTTTCTTATACAATGTTTAACGCTATCATTCTATTTAATATAATATTTAGATTCAGAATTAATACATCATATCTAACATAAGTTTCATTTTAATACCCACTAAGATTATGATAAAACAATTGAGACAGATTATCTCATCATATCTTCAAATTGTTAATCTTACATTTTCCAGGCACTTTACAGAGCTTGTTTTTTCCAGCATCGTCATGTTGAGGCCCCTAAAAAACTTCGTTTTTTCAATGTATGATAGTTGATAGAATTGTTATCTTACAACACATTATAAAGTGTCAACCCCACACTTTTCTATCAGCAAAAGAACATGTATACTAATATATTAATAGACATTCTCGACCCTTTTACAAAAAACCAGCACGACAGATTTATCACCAGTTTGCAACACAGTATTGTGTTGTTGTGCTAAATAAAGTTTCAATTCCCAGTGTTCCTACACCTATATAAAACCATCCTTGGTGAGAAGCCAAAATTGTCCCACAAACATTGGTACAATACAAAATGGTGTAACACCTTTTTAACCCAATTATAACTTGTGAATGATGCCACACACACAACTTATCTGCTTTTGTATATATTATGGTTTCTCTCGGCTAACATATCCTTAAAATAAAAACTCTACCATTTTTTTTTTCTTTATTTGAGAGCTTAAAAGAAAAGAAAACATATGTTACAGGAACATGAAAACTTTATTAGATGGGTTCACAAATAGAACTCAAAGAAACACATACAACTCTTATTCTTTAACAGAAATTAACTTCAAAGAGTTATCATAAAAAACTCCTAAAAAACTATTACAATATATGTTACCTATTCAACCATCACAATTAATATATACTCATAATAAACATACTTGAGAATTAGAATCAAGTGGATTAATTTTAATTCTAAAGCTCCACACAATATTTGAATCATTCCTTCTCTAGTTTATTGATTAATTGTTGCAACTTCTTCAGATACTTTTTCGTGGGATGATCCCGTATCATCCCTCTTGAAAATCTGAGTTTTCCATACAGCTGTGTAGGCGTTTGATATAAGCAGACATGTTTGTCATCAGCATCACTGTGGTTTGAGTTCGAATCTTCAGACATCTGTGAAGTGATATGCATGATCCTGCCTGGTGGATAAAGACGTCGCCTAGCTGATGTTGTATCTTGACTAACACTGTCTTCTTCAGTGATATCTTTCTCCTTAGTACATTTTCCCAATTCAAGATTCCCCATTTGATTCAACAATTTCTCTTCATCATCATCTGAGTCATCATTGTCAGATCCTTCACTGCAAGAATCGTATTCATCATCATCAATAGATTCTATGAGTAAGTGCTCTTCACTTAAAATAGGTTCAAAACTTGTCTCAGAAAATCCAGAAGCTTCAACCAAGTTATCTGACAATGGGTGAATGTTCTCACGTTGGGACCACGGTAACAATGAGTGTTTATGCTTCTTCACAACCTTTAGGCACAGAGAAGGATCAATGTTGTATAAGATAATTAATAACATCACCGAATCAATTAACTGTAAACTCTCGTTAGTGTCTAGTGAATACCTATACAACACAGACTGAGATTTCAATTTTAAATACATATTATAAAGAACGGAGCTTGAAGCTACCTCGGTGCAATAGTTTACTGCATGTTCTGCAATGGCTTTGGCAAAAGTTATGCGAGTTCCAACTGCGCTTGAGATGTTTTTATCCTTATTCCGACCCTGTAAATTATTCGATCAATACCTAATAATAAAAGCTTACAATTCTGCAAAGAATGAAACATTTTCTACGGTAAATCATCATGAGAAATCAACCAGTTACAATAAATATTGTAGGTTGTTACCTCAGCAATGAAATCATGAACAGAAGAAGCTGACAGTGTTGGCACTATGTCAGAACCATTTACAATGGAAGTGATAAAGGATTTTCCGAACTCAGCCAACTCCAAGGTCATACAGGCAGCTGCAAAAATTACTTAACGTTATTAATACAAAAGATCATGTAATTATTCCAATTCTAATATAAAACCATATTTAATTAGTTACTCAACTGAACATATGTTAATTAAAGAAGTGTGTATACCTGGGCCAAATGTTACACAAGTTGTTGAAGACAATTGTTGAATTTCTCTAAGCTTATAAGTCAACAGTGCAGCAGTACCACCACCTAGCGAGTGTCCCACGATCTATATATATATATGGAAATATATATTATTATAATTAGTATTATATTGAAAAACATAGTAAGTAACACTAACAAATACCTTGATTTTGAAGTGGGGGTATTGATGAAGATTTTTAAGTAGTACAGGAATGCAAAGATCTCTAATCCAAGAAGCTGCAGCATCCATACCACGGTGTGCATGTCCTGAAACCATGTTGTGATTGAAAGAGACAGGAGCACACAGTGCATTTGTGAGAGTGTCTTTAATGCAACGAGTCCCACGGATGAACACGAGTAAACATTCTGATTTTTTATCACGTATAACCGTGAAAGCAGGCTTCAGAATCTGAAATGCAAAATTCATTTGAGTTCAAATGGCCAAACAAAAATTCGTCAACAATATTACTAGTAATTATTAATGAAGGTACCCTAGATCTTCTCTCCCTAGAGAGGATATCCTCCTCATCGAATCCTTCACCAAATAGAAATTCCGGAAAGATTTTTCGTCTGCTGCAAAACATGGTACATATCAACAATCTCTTCAACTCATACAACTCCTTTAAAATGTGATGGTCTTTCACTTCTGCACAATCACTTCTTTCTCGGCATTCACTTCCAATCGTTTTCTTACCCTACATAAAATAAGCAAAACCTCTTTCAACAAAAAGAAACTATTTAAAGAACCCCAACATAACTGGATAATTGGTAAGAACTAGGGAAGCACCTTATCCAACACTGCGTGAGCGATGGCTCTGGGCAAGTTGAAGATGTAGCGTCTCTCGGTGTTAAAAAACAACAATATGGCTTCTGCTAATATGAGGATTACCTCCATCAAATTTTTGGGCGCTTCAAGTGCCCTTCGTTCAATCCTCACACAATTATTTCCATTGATCACCGTCATTATTTGCGAACAAGAAGGAAGCACGGCAGAATGGAGGAAGAAGAGTTAAAGAAGACACTAGAATAAATAGTTGGCGTTGGTTTGTGTCTCATGTGCCAAGCATAACCTTATATATATAGGAACGCGTGATGCAAGTGGTTTTACTTTTCTGGGTTGAATGAGTATGAGTAGGAGTTGCAAGTTGCATAGAAATGAACCACTTGAACAACAAATATAAATAAGAAGGACCACAACTTATCTTAAGATTTTGGATTTTGGATTAAATACATAATGAAGTGTAGTTCATAGTTCATTCATAAAGATTCCCTCTAATTTCTTGCGTCCAATTATCTAAGAT